GGTCTCCCATGGGAGTGGTTGGGGCTCAAGCACCTGGGAACGCTGTCCTCTGCTTTTCTAGGCACATTAGCAGGGAGCTGTATATTGAAAGCCAACAGAGCAACCAGAACTTGAACTGCCAATCAGTTGTGTGGTTTTTTTTTTGTTTTTTGTTTTTTTTGTTTTGTTTTGTTTTGTTTTTTTTTTGACAGGCAGAGTGGACAGTGAGAGAGAGACAGAGAGAAAGGTCTTCCTTTGCCGTTGGTTCACCCTCCAATGGTTGCTGCGGCCGGCTGAAGGCAGGAGCCAGGTACTTATTCTGGTCTCCCATGGGGTGCTAGGCCCAAGCACTTGGGCCATCCTCCACTGCACTCCCAGGCCACAGCAGAGAGCTGGACTGGAAGAGGGGCAACCGGGACTAGAACCCTGGGTGCTGGCGCTGCAGGCGGAGGATTAGCCTATTGAGCCGCGGTGCCGGCCTGGGGTGTTGGTTTTTCAAGCGGTGTTGTAACCTGCTGTGCCACCACGCGGGCCTCTTCCTAAGCTATTTCACCTATCCTTCAAGACTAGCTTAAATGTCAACTTTGTTGTACAACATTCTCTAATTCTCTGCATTCCCATATTTTGACATTTTTCTATGATACAGTTTTCACACTGTGTCAATGTCTGTCCTGGTATCAGACTGTGAGTTCTTTAAGAAACCACAGAATGTCCATCTTGGAATCACAATGCCTAGTTAAATCCTTGCGAGATGAATGATGGAAACAAGAACGGCTGAGCGAAGGAACAAAGGAGATGCGATTTCTCAGAAAGATGCCGCACTGCCTGCTGCCCTCTGGTGGCGGCTTATTCTCATCATCGCTTCTCAGGCAGGCGGTGGAGATGCCCTGGCAGTAACCTAGCTTTCGAAGGCTTCTTTCAGATGACTCACTGTCTGGTGAATGCAAAATTTCCTCCTCTGATCTTGGTATGGCTATACTTTACTCTTCTTATTACTTCATCCATTAACCTCCAGAATCATTGCCCTTCTCTGTACCCTAATATTGGTCACTTCCACGTCCAAGTCCATCATTCTTCTGAAAACATAGACTCCAATTTTTAACTGCAACCCTAGATTATCCACATCCTATTTCAGGAACTCGCTATTTAGGCTTCATCATCATCCCAAGAACATTTTGCGTCTCTAGATTCTTGGTCTCTGTCAGTCAAACAATGCCCCACACCAAGAAAGATGTTGACATCTTAATTCCAGGGAATTTGTGTATACATTATCTTAATTGGCAAAAAGAGATTTTTTTTTTTTTTTTGACAGGCAGAGTGGACAGTGAGAGAGAGAGACAGAGAGAAAGGTCTTCCTTTGCCGTTGGTTCACCCTCCAATGGCCGCCGCGGTCAGCGCGCTGCGGCCGGCGCACCGCGCTGATCCGATGGCAGGAGCCAGGAGCCAGGTGCTTTTCCTGGTCTCCCGTGGGGTGCAGGGCCCAAGCACCTGGGCCATCCTCCACTGCACTCCCTGGCCACAGCAGAGGGCTGGCCTGGAAGAGGGGCAACCGGGACAGAATCCGGCGCCCCGACCGGGACTAGAACCCGGTGTGCCGGCGCCGCAAGGCGGAGGATTAGCCTAGTGAGCCGCGGCGCCGGCCAAAAAGAGATTTTCTAGACATGATTAAATTAAGGATCTTGAGAGGGGACGCTAATCCTGGATTATCATGGAGGGTCAATGGGTTCACCAGGTCTTTTTAAAAGAGACACAGGGAGGACTGAGTAGGAGAAAGATATGTGAAAAGGGAAGCAGAGGGCAGAGGGACAAGGCCAAGAGCTGCAGAATGGGTAGCCCTAGAAGCATGAAAGGGCACAGAGACGTATCCCCCCTCAGGGCTTCCATAAAAAACATGGGCCTGCCAATCCATTTCATATTTCTGACTTTTGGGCTATTAAAGAATATATTTGTGTGGCTGTAAGAGCTGTTTGCGGTGGCAGAATAACAGAAGGAAAGTAATAGAGGCGTCAGTAGACCCATCTCAGAGTCCAGAGTGCTAACCATTACACCATGGAACAGTAGACCCATCTCAAACAGACACTGGTTCTCCTGGATCATTCTCTCTCTCCTTCTCCCAGCACACCTGACCTTGTTCTCACAACAGATCATCTCTCTCTTGACTTACCTGTCTTCCCCTGGAATCTGGGCTGCATGATCTTAGGTTTTAACAATTCTTTTCCCAGGATTTAAAAGTCCTAACCATGTATCCTTGTACCCCATCTCTTCTGATACAACCAACCTGGCAACAGACCAACCACCTGCTTGCTTCTCTCCTCTGTTGAGGAAACCGAACACCGCAAGAGAAATAACTCAACAGTCTGTATTGGTGCCTCTATGGAAGCCTGATCTTTAATCTTAGCTAGGCTCTCCCTTTATTCTTTTCAGTGAGCTTCATTAAGCCCTCTTCCATGTCCCACAGCAATGATTCCACACCAGTGTGAACTTAAAATCCTGCAGAGGCCTCAGTCAGCCAGGATGCTGTCGCTGCTTACAGCACCTTTACAAGATGCTCTGCGGCTGGTTCCCAGGTACCACAATCTTTCCATGAACCTCAACCATGACCACAGATACAGCAGCCACGGGCAAGTACCCTAAGAAGAAGTGAGCTTAGTGCACTGTGGGGAGAGTGATTAATGATCCCATTGTTTTCCTCTCCCTGCCTACAGATCACACCCTGTGTAGGAATGGAATGAACCTCTTTAATCAATAATCAAGTCTACCAGCTATTAGCAGGTATTATCAATACAATTGACAAACTACACAGAAATCTGTATTGTTCAACTCTGACGCAATGCATGTACTCACCAGTAAGAAAACCATAAACCCTGGAACCAAACTCAGGCTTACGGAATAGCCAACTCTGGCAACTGACTGGTTGTTTCAGGTTTTAAATCCTCAGCTTCACCAAATAAACATCAACTTTGAGTTTTCAACAGCACTGATCTTTGAACACATGCTGTCATCTCTTCTCCACCCCCCTGTCCCATCGCTCAACCTCCCTTTTAGAAAGTTATCTTGACCTCCATTTTTGAGATACAAATAAGGTGTGGCATTGACTGATTCCAGTGTGGCATCTTGTTATGGTCTCCCTTGATCTCGCTATCCCTGCCTCTCAGCCATATACAGGGGAATCCTAAAAGACCTTCCTCCTTGGCCCCTGCTTTCTCCACCCTATCTTTTCCTAAAATATGCTGACTTATTTTTCACTTCCTAACTTAAAGGTAAACTTTCTCTAAGTGTCCCCAATTTACTGTAAATACTTTTATGGCAAATACTGTAACCCATCACATGAAACATGATCATATTTAATTACTTTCATGTATTTATGTGACTCTCTGCTTTCACTAGACTAAGAAGCTCTTGAGGTGAATTACTTTCTTATTTTTCTGTCTTGTTATCCCCAACACTGTAGCCTGCAGTGCCTTGAGAAATGGTAAGAAAGAAAGACCTTGAAAGATGGTAACAGGTGTGGCCGAAGCACCAGCCTTCCCCGACCACACTCACACACCACCAGGCCTCAGTCCTGGCTCTCACCTCCTCCCTATGATTAATCTGTTTGGAGTCTGAGGCCTGTTCCAGGCCCCTAAGCAGTAGCTCACATCCATCCAAATGCCCAGTGCCTTGGCATGTTCATCAAATCCACTTCAGAATCTGGAAGGCGCTCTTGGCTCCCCCTGTGCTGTGGACCATCTGGTCAGGTGGCACAGAGCCCACTTACAAGGTCAGTTCCTTACTGCCCTGAACACTCCAGACTCTGCTGCGCAGTAAACTTTCTCTCCCAACTTCCAGGGGGAAGTCTCCAGCAACAGAGCACGTCTCTCCATCATTTAGATTTCCAGTTTAGTTCCCAACAAGTTGGCAGGGACATTTCTCCAGGGCACTGTTGTCGCTCTCTAACTACTCCTGAGGGCAACAGAATGGCCTGGGAGAGCAAAGCAGGAGAGCATTCACTTCTTGCGCTCCTTTTCCATGAAAAGAGAGCAGCAGTGAAGTGGCAGGTGCCATGGAAACACAGACCGGCATTACGGGATCTCCACGGTGTGCTCAGTCTGCTTCTAGAACGCTCTGATCCTAAGTCACACTATTTGCTTGAGAAGCACTTTATCGTCAACTGTGACTCACATGTAGATGACAGTTTATTTTACATTAAAAAAAATCTTTCCATCAAGAGTAGAAAGGAAGGGAAGAGACCACAGCCCTCTTCTTGTTGGCACAGGTTTTTAATTTTTATGTTTTTTAAATTGGCATTTGCTGGAAGATTTCTTTAAATATCTAGAGAGTAAGGCTGTAGTGACGAAGGCTGCTAACAGCATGGAGGATGATGAAGATGGGTGATCATGTGTCGCTTTATGCAGATGACGTACTTTCTGTGCCAAAACAGAGAGGATACTGCATGGCAGACACAACCCTGGGACTCAGGCAGTGAAGGAAACTGCTTCACAGCAAATGGACACAAACACTACTGCAGGCAGCCAGGGCTACGGTCTGACATGTACCTATAGGTAGCTGTGTTAAACACTGAAACCAATACAAATAAGCAATAAAGTGAACAGACTAGAGGATTATCCAGAAACACATCTCAATGTTTTCTCTTCCTATGTATTTGGGGAAGAAGAGAGAAAAAGAAATGGAGGTGGGTGGGTAGCAGAAAAGCTGCCTCAGCTGTGAGGACCCCCTTACTGCTGAAATCCACCGCACTCCTCCCTCCACCAGAGTGTCTGTACGGCGGCTTTGCATCTCACTCTATCACAGATTGACTTCCGGTATTCGACAACCATTCAAGTTCACATACCCCATTTCCCCAGTTTAGACCTCGTCTCCACCATTAGCCACACGGATGCCCTCCATTCCTCTGCTACTACCCCTTGAACATAGCAGGTGCCCAAAATATGTGACTTCTAGGGAAATTCCACCATCAAATAACCCCAAATCATAACTCTGCCTTTGTGATACAGTACACAAAATTTAAGGAATGAATTTACCTCTGTTTTACGGTTTGTGCCTTGTATTCTACAGTTTCCTGAGATGCAGCAGGAGGCTCCGGCAAAAGCGAGGTGAATTTTTAAATCCATCAGGCCGGGGCTGGCGCTGTGGTGTAGCGGGTAAAGCTGTCACCTGCAGTGCCAGCATCCCATAAGGCCGCTGGTTCGAGTTCCGGCTGCTCCACTTCCAATCCAGCTCTGCTATGGCCTGGGGAAGCAGTAGAAGATGGCCCAAGTCCTTGCACCCCTGCACCCGCGTGGGAGACCCAGAAGAAGCTCCTGGCTCCTGGCTTCTTATCGGTGCAGCTCTGTCTGGCCTTTGTGGCCATCTGGGGTGTGAACAAGCAGATGGAAGACCTCTCTCCCTCTCTCTCTCTCTCTCTGCCTCTGCCTCTCCTTCTCTCTGTGTGTAACTCTGAGTTTCAAATAAATAAATAAAACTAAAAAAAAAAAAAATCCAGTAAATGAAATATGTCCCCAAGAGTTTAAAATAAACTGGATTACTGAGATTTTGGCTAAGCAGTGAGGGCCGTTTGCACACAACATTTCCTACTTAGAATTCATTTTAAACCCTCCGGAGCTCCGAGTCTTCTCGGGGCGCTGCCCGAGGCCACCCTGGGGAGCTCTGGCCAGTCCGGGGGTGCGCCTCTTCAGCTTCCCGGACCAGTGCGCGCTCTGGCGGTCGCGGCCGCGCCTGACCACCAGGGGGCGACGGGCAGCACCGCTCCTCCGCGCGCGCCGGCGCGCTCCCGGCATGCCTCGCCGCCGCCGACGTCGACCCGGAAGCTGTCGCCGGCGGCCGGCCGGCCGGCAGCCCCGACGGAAGGCCGGCTGCAGAGCGCCATCGCCCCGGCCGCCTGGAGGTGCAGGTGCTGCGGGCGGTGGCTACCGGGCGAGGCCGGCGGAGAGGACCCCCAATGAGCCCACTCTCGACCGGAGCTCAGTCTGGGCGCGCGGCCCCCCGGCGGCGGCGTGTGACCCGGGCGTAAGTGCTTCTGGGGGCCCCGAGGCTGCTTAGAGGCACTCCGCCTGGGCCATTATGAAGCCCGCAGCGTTGGCCGAAGCAGCGTCTCCGCCGAGGGGGGCCGGCCCGAGGGCTCCGTCGGCAGTAGCGAAGGGGAGAAGGCGAGCTGCCGCGGTCGCTTTGCAGGAAGTGTAGGACTTGGAGGTCCCGGACCCCTGCCCGCTGTCCTCGGATCGCCTAGCGTCCAGGACACAGTTCACCTCCCCCATCCCCAGCATCGAAGGAGGGCTGTCATCTGGGGAAACGTGGTCCCTTCAGCCATGAAGGCAGAGACAGCGCCCCGGTCCCCGGAGACGCCACCCGAGTCCAGCGGTAGCCTCAATCTGATGAGCAGCCGGAAGCTGATAGCTTTTGGAGTCTTGCTTGGCTGGCTCCTGGTCATCCACCTTCTGGTCAACGTGTGGCTTCTGTGCCTTCTGTCTGCGTTGCTCGTGGTGCTGGGAGGATGGCTGGGCTCCGGCGCCATCGTGGGGGCTTCGGGTCAGCTGCACCTGGAGCGCTTCATCCCAGTGGCCACCTGCCCTCCGTGCCCGGAGGCGGAAAAGCAGTTGGAACAGGAGATCAACTGCACCATCCAGATGATTATCCGGGATTTTGTGTTGTCCTGGTATCGTTCGGTGAGCCAGGAGCCAGCTTTTGAGGAAGAGATGGAGGCAGCAATGAAAGGGTTGGTTCGGGAGCTTCGGAGGAGGATGGGCCTGGTGGACAGTCGCGCCCTTGCCCAGAGAATTCTGACCCTCTGTGGTTGTCACCTGCAGAGCTACATTCAGGCCAAGGAGGCCACGGCAAGGAAGCAGAGTGGTCCAGTGGAGCCCGCCCAGCTCTGGGAAGCTTACTCCCGGGCGACGGCACCACATCCTGCCGTGCATAGCCCCAATGCCGAGGTCACCTACACCCGTGGCATCGTGAGTTTGTTGCTTCAAGGGCTCGTGCCCAAGCCACACCTGGAGACGCGGACTGGACGCCACGTAGTCGTGGAACTCATTACTTGCAATGTAATCTTACCACTGGTCAGCAAGCTGTCCGATCCTGACTGGATCCACCTCGTGCTCGTGGCTGTCTTCTCCAAGGCCAGAAATGACCCAGCACAGGTGGCTAAACCACTCTGCCCAGCCTGTGACCCCGAGCAGCCAGCAGTGCCCACATCTCTGCCGCTGATGGTTGAGGCAGAGAGCCGGCCGGAAGGGAGAGCCCCTTCCCCAGTAGCTGTCCCAGTGCTCGTAAGCTGCAGTGAGCCAGGCCTGTCCCCAGAGGTTGAGGAAGGCCATGAAGCCATAGAGGCAGATTTCGGCGGCATCCTTGAAGAAAGGAAAGTGGGAAACAGCTCGCCTCATTTCCTACAGCCGGATATTCGAGGCCCCCTGTTCCTGTGTGAAGACTCAGAGCTGGAATCGCCACTGTCGGAACTGAGCAAGGAGACAATCATGCTCATGACCCCAGGCAACTTCCTGTCTGAGAGGATCCACGATGCCCTGAATGCCCTGGAGGAATCCCAGGTTCTGGAGCCCAAGGATGGCGGGGGGTCCGAAGGTGTTGAAGGAACCGAGGCTGAGGAGGGCCCAGGGACAGACACAGAAGCAGGCCTGCTGGTCCCCGCGCCGAGCTCCTGCCCAGAGATCCAGATTGACACAGCGGACAAGGAAGCCGAGCAGGGAGATGCCACCCCCCTCACAGCTTTCGGGGAGGAACAGGAAAAGACCTGCCCCCCGCGACCCTCCTGTCTAGAGAAGGATCTCACCGACGGCGTGAGCTCTCTCGATCCTGCGCTGCCACCGATTGCGCTCTCCTCTTCTCCACCCGGTCCTCTCAGCTCAGCCACGTTCAGCTTTGAGCCTCTCAGCAGTCCAGATGGCCCCGTCGTTATCCAGAACCTTCGAATTAGTGGCACCATCACGGCTCGAGAGCACAGTGGCACCGGCTTCCACCCATACACGCTCTACACCGTGAAGGTAACAGCCAACGCTGCGGGCACCCGTTCTGGCCTGGGAATAGGTTCAGAAAGCAGAGTTAGTAAAGCTGGTGTCGGGGGTGGGGGTGGGGCGTTGAGACAACTCTAAACTGCTGTGTTCAACTCAACAAATGCCTTGCTTGAATGTTCTGAAGCTGTTTGTCAGACAGAGTGGGCCCTTTTCACAATCATACAAGCAATCCTAGAATCTCAGGACTGTTAGAAGACTGTAGGCTGTATTTTCAGTAGTTTCCAAATTTGTAGTCAACATTATTTGGGCTGCTTTTTAATTTTTTTTTTTTTTTTTTTAAGAATTTTCCATCCACTGGTGCACTCCCCTAGTGGCCACCACAGCCAAGACTGGACCAGGCTTAAGCCAGGAGCTCCCATCTGGGCCTCCTACATAGATGGCAGGGGCCTAGCACTTGAGCCATCACCCACTGCCTTCCCAAGCACGTTAGCAAGAAATTGGATTGGAATCAGAGTAGTCGGGCTGGAACAGGTACTCTGGTGGGGAATGCTGGCATTGTAAACAGTGGCTTTACACAACAGTGGTGTTGTACACCACAGCACTGGCTCCTGGCCTGCCTTTCATTTATTTATTTATTTATTTTTTTTTTTTGACAGAGCGGACAGTGAGACAAAGACAGAGAGAAAGGTCTTCCTTTACCATTGGTTCACCCTCCAATGGCTGCTGCGGCCGCCGTGCTGCGGCTGGCACACCATGCTGATCCGAAGGCAGGAGCCAGGTGCTTCCTCCTGGTCTCCCGTGCGGGTGCAGGGCCCAAGGACTTGGGCCATCCTCCATTGCACTCCCAGGCCATAGCAGAGGCTGGAATGGAAGAGGAGCAACTGGGACAGAATCCGGCACCCCGACCAGGAATAGAACCCTGGGTGCCGGCGCCGCAGGCAGAGGATTAGCCTAGTGAGCCGCGGCGCCGGCCGTGGCCTGCTTTCTTAATGTACAGATTTAAAAAGGTTCTGCTTGAGAATATACAAGGTTGGGCTTCCAAATTCTATATTTTTTTTAATTAGAACCTCCAACTAACATGGAGGCAGCCTGTTGTAAGGCCATTTTAGGGGAACTGCAGCTCTAATCTAACCACCCTTCTTCATATTGTCTCTGCCAGGTGATTCCCATATCTGTGCTTAAATAGCTCCAGGAATAAGGAATTTGATATTAGATAAATATCCTACATCCCTAAAACAAAGCACAAAAGATAACTACTATTTTTTAAAAGAAAGAAAGGAATTAGCAGGGAAGAAGTTTGAAAAGACAATTCCTGGGCAAGAACCCTATCCATTGGATTTTATTTGCTTTCTCTTTAAATTTATCTGACTCAGTCCAAAAACCACCACCAGGCCCAAGCCTTGGTGCTGTAGTCTTTCCTGTGAAATTCCAATCCAGGTAAGAGGGAAAGGACCTTCTGTAAACTGTTGCACAGCCGCAGTATGTGAGAAAAAAAACATCGTAACTCCCAGGTGCTCCGAGCTTGAGAGCCCCATCCTGAATTCTGCCTGTCTTTCTTACCTTGGTTTCCTCGGTACTGCTTTGATCACAACCGTCCTGGCTGAAGAAAACTGGGAAACACCAGCCTTGAGTCCCACCAGCAAGGAAACACTTTTTGTCCATTGCTTACCCTTAGGATAATACCTGAGCAATAGCATTCATTACTGCTAACGAGAAGGAGTGTGAATGTGTGTGTGTGTGTGTGTGTGTGTGTGTATATGTGTGTCTGTGTAGTTCTCCCACAAGACTTGATTGTATCAACTATCCTAGTAAAACGTCTTCCCCTACACTGAGCTGTAGTTTCATGCTGTGCAAGGTGTCCACTCTCTGGGTAGCATGTAGTACCAATCATCTTTTCCCACCACTAGGCCTCCAAGCTAAGAACATAGCAGGTTTTGACCCTTTACAACATACGGATGATACGTACTTAGTGGGGGAAAAAAATTGTTTAATTCTGAGAACAATTAGGAGGATTAATGTGCTCAAAGCAAAACAAAAACAAAAGCATGTGCCCTTTTAATCCATCCCAAACATAGAAGTTTTCTTTTATTCATCTGCTGGTTGGGCTTATTTGTTCTCCCAACTTGTAGAATCACCAGTCGGGTATAATGGCTAAGTGGTTTTTCTCTTATATAAATGTCCAGTCCTATAATTTTAGGGGTGAAATAGGCAGTATCATCTGATACGTACTGTGGGATTTGAAAAGTAGTTTTGTAACCGATTTTATAAAGACAGTATCTAGGGGAAGGAGCTTTCTAATGGATGTAGCAGCAAGGAACAGTGAAACTCATTTCTGACTTTTTAGCCCATTGTGTATGTGTATATATGTGCGTGTGTGTGTGTGTGTGTGTAAGATTTACTTACTTACTTGAAAGGCAGAGTTACAGAGAGGCAGAGGCAGAGGCATAGAAAGAGAGAGATCTTCCATCTGCTGGTTCGCTCCCCAAATGGCTACAATGGCCTGAGCTGGGTCTGTCCGAAGCCAGGAACCAGGACTTTCTCCCAGATCTCCCAAGTGAGTGCAGTAGAGCCATCCTCTACTGCTTTCTCAGGCCATAACAGAGAGCTGGATTGGAAGTGAAGGAGCTGGGTCTCGAACCAGCACACATATGGAATGCTGGCAGTGCAGACGGCGGCTTTACCTGCTACACCACAGTGCTGGCCCCCATATATAGTTTGAAGTATGTATCATTCCGTAATTCAGCCACCCCTGGAGTTTGAGTTGTTCATTACAACCTGGGGCAGCAGTCAGGTAGAGCAGGTTCTGGAGCAGAATAAGAATATTCCCTCTTTATCCCTACTCTCTTGTTACCGTGTGGGCATTGAACTGTGGGCATTGAATCTGGAGTAGAGATTGTCTAAATCTGACTGATTTGGCCAACAAATATATTCATTCAACAGTATGAGACAGCTCTTAACGGTGAAAACAGCAGTGGCCTGCAGCAGTTGGCCTACCACACTGTGAACCGCCGCTACCGGGAATTCTTGAATCTGCAGACTCGACTGGAGGAGAAACCAGATCTACGGAAGTTCATCAAAAGTCAGTAATTCCCTTAGCCCCACGCTGCCTGCTTATTTTTCACATCTAACCACCCTGAACTTGACAGCTTGGCGTCCTGTTGGGTTGTGTGGAGGAGTGGAAGAGAATGTAGCATTGAAATTCTCTGCTCCCCAAGTGTGTTTGGCTTTTAGTTTAGGACAGCAGTTATCCCATTGTTTTTAAGGTTGTCAGTTGCTGTTAAAGGCCTTGTCTGGAGCCTCATTAGGTTAAGCTTAAAAAAGAAGCAGTAAGTAAGGTGGTGTGAGGAGTTAAAGTGATTCGAGAGTGACATTTTTTTTTTTTTTTAAGAAAGCTCTTATTTAATGAATACAAATTTCATGGGTACAGCTTTAGGAAAATAGTGATTCTTCCCCCCATACCCACCCTCCCACCCCCACTCCCGTCCCACCTCCTACTTCTTTTCCTATCCCATTCTTCATTAAGATTTATTTTTAATTAATTTTATATACAGAATACCAACTCTATACTAAGTAAAGATTTCCACAGTTTGCACCCACACAGATACACAAAGTGTAAAGTACTGTTTGAAAACAAGTTTTAGAGTTAATTCTCATAGTACAACTCATTAAGGACAGAGGTCCTACATGGAGAGTAAGTCCACAGTGACTCCTGTTGTTGATTTAACAATTGGCACTCTTATTTATGATGTCAGTGATCACCCGAGGCTCTTGACATGAGCTGCCAAGGCTTTGGAAGCCTTTTGAATCCACAGACGCCGTCAGTATTTAGACAGGGCCATAAGCAAAGTGGAAGTCGTCTCCTCCCTTCAGAGAAAGGGACCTCCTTTTCTGATGGCCCCTTCTTTCCACTTGGATCTCACTCAGAGAACCTTCATGTAGAAAGGTAATTTTTTGCCACAGTGTCTTGGCTTTCCGTGCCTGAAATGCTGTCATGGGCTTTTCAGCCAGATCCGAATGCCTTAAGGGCTGATTCTGAAGAAGTGACACCTTTAAATATGAAAATATTATCCAGAGATCCTTGCTACCTCCTTTCCTTTAGCAACCAGTCTTTTTTGTGTGCTGTTTGATGCCTCAAAGACACAGGGAAAATAAGAAAATGCAGTAAATAACCACTTGGATTTTAAAAAACGTTGATCAGCCAGATAAACTTCTTAAGAAGTTTAGATATAAATTATGCATTTTTATTTCTTTGTAGCAATAGGTACTAATTAAGCAAAGCTTGAAAATACGGACCTAGTTCTCTTCTAGGCACTTTATACATGTTAGCTCATTTGATCCTCATAAAAGTCTAGGAGATGGGTACTGTTACTGTCTCTCTTTTTCAGAAAGGAAACAGGGTTACAGAAAGATCATGCAGCTTGCCTAAGGTCATTAGTATGCTAGAAACTGGAGGCAGAATTTAAACTTGGGCCTTTGGACTTGGGAGCGCTCACTTGTAACCACTCTAGTGTGTGGCCTCTTCATGTTAATAATGACAGCAGGCTGTATGTATCATCCCTAGGCTTTATTTGGAACTCGTGATTTTTTTTAGTGTCTCCAGTAGTTATTTTTAAAGTATGTTTGGTATATTTTATGTAGGATAGCTCTCTATGTTAAATGAATTTGTTGTTGTTGTTTTGAAGACGTGAAGGGTCCTAAAAAGCTCTTTCCAGATCTTCCATTTGGAAATATGGATAGTGACAAAGTAGAAGCCCGTAAGAGCCTTCTGGAATCATTCCTAAAGGTCAGCATGCTTCCATTTTGGGTTTTCTCTCCTTTAACCTCAAGTAGAAATATCTGGGGGTGGGGGTTTCTCTCTCAAAATCCTTCTTGTGTCTTCTTTTTGCAGCAACTCTGTGCCATTCCTGAGATCGCTAACAGTGAGGAAGTACAGGAGTTCCTTGCTCTGAACACAGATGCTCGAATTGCCTTTGTCAAGAAACCATTCATGGTCTCTAGGATAGACAAGGTACCAGCATGAGCCACTGCTTGAAAAACAAGCAAGGGTGGGCACGGAGGGAGGCTGCACGCAGAAGTCAACAGAACCTGAACTGAAGTTCTCAAGACCTTTTGCTAAAAATTGGCTGTCTCACCAACTTGATGAATCACAACTGTTAGGAAACAGTACTCATGTCTCTATACGTGTAACCATATCCGGGGAGTTTTGTGATACTGCTATTCTAGTATAGGCATGTAAGGATAGATCTGTATCTCCACTGATAGGCTGAGGTTGAATAGTCTCTTCTGGAAGGAAAGGTCATTCCCAGTCTTGTTCATTCAGGAAAGAGCCCTAAGACAAGACAATACGCTATATTTAGATTGGCTTAGTGATTCTCTGCTGGAGAACAGAGTATGGACAGAATTATACCTTCTTCAGGAAGGTGTCTCAGCACCTGTGGGAATTTGTATAACACATTGGAGCCTGTCAGCTATGATAGGCAGTTGACATCCTTAGAGTCTCCAGGACTCAAGCCTGAGGTTTATCAGAAGGTTGGAGAGCACTGACTTGGTAGCAGAGGAGAAGCTCCCCTCTGATCTAGGTTTAGGGGAACAAAACAGAATGGAATTTCATGTGATGAGGTGTTAAGGAGAATCCACTGCTAGGTAGAATGGTGGGAGAAACTAGAAAGGGATCAACTAGGTAAAATCCCCAGAGTTCCGCAGCGATGTGTCCATCCCTTGATTCTTTCCACATCTGCTTACTGATTGCTTGTTTTGAGCCACAGGCACTGTAGTGGTTGCTGGTGATGGAACAATGGGTGAGACAGATGAGGAGCCTGGAAAACAAGTTGTGATTTCTAAGCTACGTTATCTATGTTCTTGTTATTCTCTTTTTTCTTCCATGATTTTTTCTCCCGTACTCCTCACTGTAGTCTTTTTTTTTTTTTTTTTAAGATTTTATTTACTTATTTAGAGGCAGAGTTACAGACAGAGAGGGAGAGACAAAGAGAAAGATCTGCCATCCGCTGGTTCACTCCCCAAAGGCCACAACGGCCGGAGCTGGGCCAATCCTAAGCCAGGAAGCAGGAGCTTCTTCCAGGTCTCCCACACGGGTACAGGGGCTCAAGGACTTGAGCCATCTTCTACTGCTTTCCCAGGCCATAGCAGAGAGCTGGATCAGAAGAGGAGCAGCCAGGACAGGAACCGGTGCCCATATGGGATGCCAGTGCCGCAGGCAGAGGCCTAGCCTGTTACACCACAGCACTGGCCCCTTCCATGTACTCTCATTGACTGCTTTTGCCTTGTCTGAGCTATGCTAGCTGTGTTCCTTGTAGAGGAATACAAGAATGTGTTAAAGAAGTTGTGCTGCCCTGATCCAGGAGTGTCAGTTAGCAAGATGCACCAAAGGAAAGTGAATGATTTCTTCCATTTCTTTGATACTTTATGGTTTTGTTTGTGTATTTTCCTTTTTAGCAGTATCTGTATGTCATTTTCTCATTCTGAGAAACAGAGGTGACTCTTAATCTTTAGTGAAGATTGTTTTGCTTGACCTTTCCAAGTACGGAAGTTTATATCAGTTTATATCAGTTCCAGATATCTTGCTGAGTGATTTTGTTTGGATTGACTAGAAAAACCAATATTTTTACTCTGCTGCGAATTACTCTGATCATCCTTATGTTGTGTGTGCCCTGTACTGTGTGTCCTTACATTGTGGGGTTTGGTTTTTTATTGTTGTTATCTTTTTCACTCTTCTCTCCTTGAACTCCTGCCTATATTGCTTCCACTAAATGCACATCTTGATAAAATAATTATCAATTTAGGAACTAGAAATCACTCCTTTTTATAAAAAGAAAATTAGAAAATATAATCCATCAGCAGCATGCAGCCCATAGGTTGGTATTTATCTGTTTCTTTTGGCTTCTTTTCCCACGTTCTTGTTTGTCTTATTCTGTGAGGAGGGAGATTTTTGTGGTCAAACAGGATCGGGAGGATAGTTGTCATTAGCTGACATGTGACTTTCCTGATGGGTAAGACTATGCCAGAGGGACGGATGTGGCTGTCATTTCTTAACTCACCCTGTTGTGTAAAGCATCGTGAGACAACTGAGCTGATGTTTAGAGGTCTCTTACCGACCCAGCCCTTCTGACCCCTGCAGATGGTGGTGAGTGCTATTGTGGACACCTTGAAGACAGCATTTCCTCGCTCTGAACCCCAGAGCCCCACAGAGGAGCTGAGTGAGGCCGAGACTGAAAGCAAGCCCCAGACGGAAGGCAAGAAGGCTAGCAAGTGAGAAACCCTTCGGTCACCCAGTGACTGCTTCTCAGGTTGATCCCCAATCCTCAGCCAAAGACCACCCCATTCTCAAGCCTAGAAGAGCACAGGTCAGGCATCCATTCCAGGTTTTAGGGAAGCCCAGAATCCAGGCTCCACTCAGGGCTCCACCAAGGGAGACTGGGACTGCTAAGTGTTTGTTCTTTCCATGGAGCCCGGAGACCTGACCGACCTGGGATTCTTGACTGGAAGGGAAACTCTAGAATGTGAATACTTTCCTAGGAAATGGAGAGGTTTCTTTCCTACTGATAATTAGGGTTTATAGCTTATCTCTTTCTACCACGATTTCTGGAAAATTTTCCTCAGAAGTTGCATATACTAGCAATAAACTGGGAAGGAATAGAATGGAAAGCTGCAGAGCCCATTTTAGTCCCTGGCTGACTGCTTCTCCCCTCTCCGGTACTGGGGTCCCAGCTGTTCCATGGCAGCTCTCCAGGCACACGTGTGGAAGGCGAGAGCACCACACCTTACTGGAAATTGCATCTGTGTCTGGGCCATTATGAAGAAAGAGGGCGACAGAGAGTCCAGTTGCCTGTCTTTGTCCCTCTGTTCATGTTTCGTGGGTCAACAATAGCAGACTCGAATGACAGCCTTTGTTGAGCATGAGCACGATGCCTGGGCATGAGTCTTGTATTCCTGGAAGCATCCAGGTCATCTCTTGCAATTCCTTCTCTGGTGTTATTTGGAAAACAGAGGGAATAAGTGAATGACCACCGACAAAACCTTTAGTCCATGCCAGTTACCTGTAGCCTCTTTTGCAGATTTTTAATGAGTGCGTAGGATGTGCCAAACATTGTCCACAGCCTAGGAGAATGTTAACCATAACAAACTAGTCCCTGTTTTACTAGGCAAAAGCCCTGTCACACGTGCACTATAGACATAGTGTAGTGTGAGCATTGCTGGAATACATGTTCAGGGGATTTTAGGACCATGTCTTTGCTGGCAACTCTGACCCAAGAGTGTGCCTGGGTATTCTCTTGATGGACCACTGTGCTTGTCAGCCCTGTGTGTGGGGATCAAGACCATGAGTTGCATCCTGTTTCTGCTTTTTGTTTCTGTGCCAGGTCCAGACTGAGGTTCTCATCCAGCAAAATTGCTCCAGCACTGACTGTCACCGAAGCACACGACAGGGTTCTGTATTGTCTCCGCGAAGGCCACGTGGTAAGGACCAGAGCCCTGAGCGGTGCAGCTGTCAGGATCGGGGATGCTGATGTCCGCAGCGTTAGCAGGGGAGACAGTCTTGAAGGTCCAAAGGACTCGCTGTCTGCCGAAGGACTTCACTAACACCTGAATCCCAAGTTTTGTTATTTTAATTTTCAATTACTTTTTAACAGATTTAATATGATTTTTATCTCAGGTTTTCATGCTAAAACTATTTTTCTCTGAGTAGCTTGGAATTCCTACCAGTTCTGAGTTGGCAAGTTGGTTTCTCTGGGCTAGTGGATTTAGAATAATGGATGACAGGATGAGAAAGGCAGCCAGTTCCTGGAAGAGAATGGATGACCCAAAAATGTGCATGAAGTGATAAATATTAGGACAGATTTGCTTTACTAACAACTTGGGTTATATATATATATATATAGAGAGAGAGAGAGAGAGAGAGAGACTGACTTCCCTAAGGTGATCACAAGCAGGAGGGTCTGTGCTTGTCGTAGCTTAGAAGGGGAGAGACAGGGTAGCACACAGTGCCACGTTGCTCTGCCACATGTTGCCATCCATGTATGATGTTCAACTGTTTCTTTAGGAGTCAGAGGTCCTCTCCATGTCTAGGATGGAATCCTTTATTGAAAAACAGACAAAGCTACTGGAAGTACAACCAACAGAAACCCTAAATAAAGGTCTCACACGAACCTCCAAAGAATATGTGGATGGTGGCTTGTCAGGTGCGACAGTGCCAGCCCAAGACCTCAGTGACAGTGATCCAGGTGAGTGGCAGTTCTCGGCCCCCACAGAGAGGAGAGCCAGGGTTGGGCCATTAGGACGTGGGTTGGTTGGACGTGGTTGCCGTGATGGCTGTTGTGCTCAGTGGAGTGAGCCATGTGTGGAACCTCAGTGTTGGTAATGCTGCGCTGAGTGCTGGGTACAAAGATAAGCATGGAGTGATCCCAGACCAAGTCAAGCAGTGGAGCAGAGCACAAACACAAGAAGTTCTAATGCAGCAGAAGACATCCATGCTTATAGTATGATGTCTCAGTTTTTGTTTTGGCATGCTACTGCCTTTATCTAAACATTTCGTCCCCTCTGTGTGTGATACCACTCTCCTGATTCTCTTTCCACCTCTCTTGTCCCTTCTTGGTCCACCTTGCTGGCTCCCTTGTCAGCCTTCTGGGCCCTTAGTTTTGACACGCTCTCCTTACTCTGCACACTCCCCTTAGCTTCCACTCTAACAGATGTGCCAGTGTTGCCTAAATACTGGATTTTGTGTGTCTTCACATGGATAGACCATAAGACAACTGAAAATACAATATGTCCAGAATAAAATCCATCTTTTTTCTCCTGTTTTTTTCTGCTTTATTCCCTGCCTTGACAGGTGATGCCGCCTAGTTATTAAGGTAGAGCAGGAAAGAGAGAGGGGTGAAAGCTCTGTTCCGTCTTCATGAGCATTTGAGGTATAGCCGGTTTGCTTCCCAGGAGAAAAGCAGATGCATTCTACAGAGAAAAACACAGAGCCTTCAGCATTAATAAGTGCATCTGCTGAGCTAGAACTGGAAAGAAGGGCGTCATCAGTCAGAGGCCTCTCCTGAGAGTGCAGGATCACAACTCTTGGGTTCAGAAGGCTGTAGAAGAAACTGATTTCACCATGTCTCAGGTGGATAGGAGTACATCACCTGACCTCTACTCCCTGGACCTCAGTTTAGCTCTGTGAGATGTGTTTACCACCCCATCCCGTCTCATAGCTCACTGTTTAGTGAATGAAGTGGTGTGACAGCAAAGGTATCAGAGACCTCTAAGTGTAAACAAAAAAGGATGAATGAAGCTATCCTCCTAGCCAAAATCAAGCCTGTAAATTTTGAATATCATATCTTTTTTTTAAAGATTTTTTATTTATTTGAAAGAAAGAGTTACAGAGAGAGAGGAGGGGGGAAAGACACAGACACACACACAGATCTTCCATCTGCTGATTCACTCCCCAAATGGCCACAAGAGCTGGGGCTGCACCAGGCCAAAGCCAGGGGCCTGCAGATTCTTCTTGGTCTCCCACGTGGGTACAGGGGCTGGAGAACTTGGACCGTCTTTCGCTGATTTCCCAGGTGCCTATAGTAGGGAACTGGATTGGAAGTGGAGCAGCCAAGTCTCAAACCAGTGCCCATATGGGATGCCGGCATCTCAGGCATGAGCTTAACCTGCTATGCCACAACACCAGCCTCTGAATATCATAGCTCTTACAGGATGGTTTGTGTCTGAGCCCGCACAGCCATGAGAGACTCAAAATGCTCCTATGATAGCAAATTTACCATTCTCTAAAGTAGGACTTAGTGGTAATGTTTTGTTCTTATTTTTAACTGCAATAACTAATTGTTACCACATGGTGGCAGCTCCAGGCAAATGCTAAACCTGAGAAAATAACAGAATTGAGAAAGGTGACTGAGGCTCAGGATGCTGCTGTTTGCCAAGGAATGGAATAATCCCTCTTAGAGCAAATGACTGGAAGTAAAGCAACACCTCAGATCCCATTGCCCTTGAAGTACAGTACAGAAAAATGAAACAAAACAAAAAAGTATGCAGTGTGGGATTCAGTTCTAGCAAAGCCATTCAAATCTGAAGTAATTCATGTTCTGAAAAACCCACAAATGAGGAGAGTTCAAGAAAGCTGGCCCAGAGAATACGCTATGGTCCTAGACTAACAAACATTATTGGTGATGATTACCTGTAATACTAATCACAGCAGTAGCACCAGATAGGTCAGATTCATTCTGGAACATTAATTACTCCTGGGAAAGCAAATCAGAAGCAGCATAGCATCGCCCCCCCCCCCCCAAAAAAAAAAAGTTTAGAGGACAGATGCTTCCATCCAGAAAATACACATGTTCAGCTGAGTGTGGGGCTGAGCTCATTTGTGGCCCTTGCCATTTTTGAAACAGGAAAAGAAGTCAGTGTCATGGCATTCACCAGAGGGGTATGAAACACAGGTAATCTCAAGATCCAGCGGAAGCCTCTTCAATCCCAGGGTATCAGCTCTGCGTAATGGAGGTGCTTTCAAAGCAAGGTTTTGCAGGGTAATAAAACCCAATTCCCAAGTGCTTCTCCAGATCCGCCCACAGCATTTCCGTGATGTTTTGTGTCGCATGTGGAATGCAAATGTGAAGGGTTGAGGCCTTGCCAGTTGCATCCAGTCAATAGTTTTTCAGCTTTTTTTTGTTTGTTTTTTTGGAACTGAATGAATTGAGCATCCTAGAGAAATCTAGAGGCAACAGAAGCTAGGTAAGCAAAATAATTATATGTAAAATCTTTTTTAAAAGATAAAAACTTTTGCTGGATGACAGAACACCAGGAACCTAAACAAAAGATACAGAGCCTACCACTGAAGCAATCATCTATGAAGTAATCATCTCTTGATGTCAGTGTGGAGTGACTGATTACAAAAGTACAAGATTTCTATATGCAGGCGCCGCCCTGTGCATTGAAAGGTGTTCCTCAAGTGTGGGTCTCTACTGAGTTACTTTTATGCCTTTTTGTCCTCCAGGGACAGAGACAGAGTTAGCTGACACAGCCCTGGATCTGGTCCTGTTGCTGTTAATGGAACAATGGAAGTGGCTGTGTACCGAAAACATGCAGAAATTTCTCCGGCTTATCTTTGGGACCCTGGTTCAGAGGTGAGAGTGCTGAGTCCTCCCTTACATTACATTTTCAAGCGGCAGAGAAGTTGATGTGATGCTGAATTCTACAGAAGCAAAGGTCAGTGTGGAGTCTGGGGAGCCGAGGGCCCTAAGAAAAGAGGGGATACAGGGTGAAGACTGCCTGAAAAGGGTCAGAGAGATTTTCTTAATCACTTTCTTTTCTAAATTCGGAATATATCTGCTCCTGCAAGACTTTTGTCACAACACGCTGAGTTACAGACACTCCTGTGAGCTTAGATACTTCTGCTGAACTCTTCCTACTGTGGGATGAGTTCTCCATCCACTTACATCCCCAAGCCCTGTACGTTTCACCTTGTGATAATGGACTTTCTTTTTACTGGCAGTAGGTAGTCACTGTGATGATAAACAGTGGGAAAAACAATGAGAAACCAGGTCAGTGCCTTGGAAATACTGCTTCCTCCTAGAAGGGCATGAATAATCACAGCTGAAGTAGTACTTCCTGACACGGGGTGGTAAAGAAGAGAGGGAAGCTTGCTTTTGCAACTTGGCTTTTATAATCCAGGTTTTGTGATTCCAGTATGACTTGAACTCCGAAATATCCATGCACAGATGGAGTTTTTAGCTGCCAACTTCTTAATCATGGAATTCAGGCAAGCTCTGCTTAATTACAGAAGGCCAAAGAGACAGTCTTGGACAGACATGTAGTGCTCTTGTTTTGATTTCTGTCTTAAAAGACATCCTGGCAGATTCTCCAAGTAAGAAGCAGCCTGTGGCCCTGTTAGCATGTGGCTCATACTGACATGTCATGCAAAGAATACTTCTTTTAAAAAAAAATCATTATCCTACAACAAGCAGAAAACCCATCAGCAGCAAGCAGTTAAATCTCCATTCCCATATTCAGCATTATGTAGGATCAAGAAAACTAAATAAGCTTGGATCATAAAGAGACGAAGTGAGAGAAAAAGGCGTGCATTTGTATTTGCTAGATTCTTATCTAGGCCATCATCCGAACTCTGTTCATGTATATTTCCTTATGGTAACCAAGTGAGGTAGTTAGCTCCATAGCCCCATTGTATAGAATAAGAAAATGGGATTTGGCAGGATCAGCCAACAGGCCTAAGATTATAGTTGGGGACACACCTAGGATTTCAAGCTTAAATTTGTATAGCTTCAAAGTTCATGTCGTTTTTTCCTGCATGTGGTATCCTTAGGACTGCTCTCCAAGTGAAACCCAAATACAAAATTCTGACTGGTATCCAGGCGAAGGCTTTCCACCTGTCCATACTCCACACTCAGCTCTGCCAGTAGAGTGCTTTTCTGAAAAGCATGGCTGAACATACATTCTGTACTTAAAATCCTTGAGGCACTCTGTTGCATGCAAAAGTGATTTTTCCCATATGTGTCTCGGATTCCTATCATTGCAAGAAGTGCTTTAAAAGTCAGCTTAGGGAAACTCAGTAGACCATAATCCATCCAAAATAGTTTCATTATGAGCATTTAATGTGCTGAGGATCCAGGTAGGTTTTCCTTTTTTTTTTTTTTTTTTTTTTTTTTTTTTTGAAAAAGAGCTCCACTATATATATATATATATATATATATATATATATTTTTTTTTTTTTTTTTTTTTTTTTTTTTTTGACAGGCAGAGTTAGTGAGAGAGAGAGACAGAGAGGAAGGTCTTCCTTTACCGTTGGTTCACCGCCAAGTGGCCGCTACGGCCAGCACATTGCGGCCAGTGCACCGCGCCAATCCGAAGCCAGGAGCCAGGTGCTTCCTCCTGGTCTCCCATGGGGTGCAGGGCCAAGGACTTGGGCCATCCTCCACTGTACTCCCGGGCCACAGCAGAGAGCTGGACTGGAAGAGGAGCAACCGGGACAGAATCCGGTGCCCCGACCGGGACTAGAACCCTGGGTGCCGGCGCCACAGGCGGAGGATTCGCCTAGTGAGCCGTGGCACCGGCCAACACTATGTTTAAAATATATATTGATTTCCTTATATTAAAATTCCACCTCAGCCATATTTCCATTCTCTCCCATGCAGACTGTCATTGCCTGAGTAGTCTGTGATCTCTTACTTCCAGGCCTTTGCCTGAATGTCTTTTTCTCCACTCACTCCTCTTCTACTCTCTCCTCAATGTCCCTAACTTACCTTCTTCTCATCTGTTAGGTCTTTTGCTAACACTGAGCATTCTGTGAAACGTTGTATGACATCTCCCTACAATTAAGTTCACTGAAAGTTCTGATGTTAATATTGCCATGTCATATTATATAAATCATCTTTCCTTAAATTAGTGGTTCTCATCTGAAGGGCACTTTTGTACCCCGGGGAATATTTTGCAAGATTTGAGACCTTTTTGGTTACGAGCACATTGCCTACTGACACCAAGTGGCCAGATGCCAGGGCTGCTGTCCAACAAACTGTCCTGCACTATATAGGATAGTCTCTCCAACCCCAAATAAGAAACCAGTGATGAATTGTGCTGCCCAAATGTCATTAGTGCTGAGACTGAGAAATTTTGTGTACAGTAATGGCTTTTATTTAAGATTTATTTACTTTGAAAGGGAGAGATATATAGAGAGAAAGAAATAGAGAGCTTCCATCCCACTGGATCACTCCCCAAATGGCCATAGTGGCCAGGGCTGAGCCAGGCTGAAACCAAGAGCCAAGCACTCCATCCAGGTCTCCCATGTGGGTGGCAGGGGCCCAAGGACCTGGCCATCCTCTGTTGCTTTCCCAGGCACATAAGCAGAGAGTTGGATCAAAAATGGAGCAGCCAGGACTCAAACCAGGGCCCATATGGAATGTCAGCATCACAGGTGACTTAATCTATTGTGATACAATGCCAGCCTTGAGTATCAGTTCTTTAAGGCCCTAAGCTAGCTCTTTATCACTGGCAACTCATATAAGGCTAAGACATAGTAGATATTCTTAAATATTTGGTAAAGGAATAAACATTTTCCTTTTCGGTACTTGAATGATAGTTTTCTTATGTTTTATTTAGTCACCTATGAATATTGCCAATTAGGCCATCATTTCTCTTTTCCCTCTCTTGGAGTTTCCATTTGCTGTTCTTCCAAGTACTTTAAAAATGGGAAAATCCAACGTGGGTCTTTGGAATTAGCTGCTAACCTACCACGTGGGATGCCCATATCCTGTATCCGAGTACATGGGTTCAAGTCCTAGCTTTGCTTCTGAATCTAGCTTTCTACTAATGCTCACTGTGGGAAGCAGCAGGTAATGACAGCACCAGATGGGTCCCTGCCACCCACGTGGGAGACCGATTGAGTTCCTGGCTCCCAGGCTTCAGCTTGGCCCAACCCTAGCTGTTGCAGGCATTTGGGGAGTATTCAGTGGATGGGGAGATTTCTCTGTCTCTCAGCTTCTCAAATAAATAAAGTAAATAAATATTAAAAAAAAAACTAGGATGATCTCCAAACTGGTTAGTATCTGATTGTGATGACCCCTACCACGCATGAGGAATTGGTTTCAGAACACAAGAAATTAGGCCGGCGCCGCGGCTCAGTAGGCTAATCCTCCGCCTTGCGGTGCCAGCACACCGGGTTCTAGTCCCAGTCGGGGCGCTGGATTCCGTCCCGGTTGCCCCTCTTCCAGGCCAGCTCTCTGCTGTGGCCCGGGAGTGCAGTGGAGGATGGCCCAGGTCCTTGGGCCCTGCACCCCATGGGAGACCAGGATAAGTACCTGACTCCTGCCTGCGGATCAGCACGGTGCGCCGGCCGCAGCGCGCCAGCTGTGGCGGCCATTGGAGGGTGAACCAACGGCAAAGGAAGACCTTTCTCTCTGTCTCTCTCTCTCACTGTCCACTCTGTCAAAAAAAAAAAAAAATTATTCAGTCAACATAAAAGTATAGATGAATATGGGCACTTCCAAAGAGATTAGACTCATATATTAAAGGTAAGAAGAAATTTGAATATCTTGAAATATTAAAGGACTTGGCCAGCCCAGATAAAGGAGAGACCACTGTTTTTGAGATTTGGAGGAAGCTCCCTGTGGAAGCAGTACTTCACGTAGCAAAGGGCTCTGCAGAGCTAAGGCAGGAAAGTTAAATCCTCACAGAAAAGAAGCAAGCCCACAGTGCATTACAGGTATGGAAAAGACAGGGCTCTTAGCAGCGTTCAGGCTGTGATACTGTCAACCAGGTGACATTACCCTCCTGTTAGTTGCCTATGAGTTTTACTAGCTTCCATTCGCAAGGCAATTATCTCTCCAGCAAACTGGAGTAATGAATGATTTTTAGTGAAATATTAAGGGATAAGTACTGAAAGGAGGTGGGGCAGGAAACCTAGCTAAATTTCCCTTGACTTTCTTTGAGCTTTTTTTTTTAATAGAAAGGGATCGCAATTTGAAAAAAAGGGAAAAATCTGAATATATTTGGTGAATTTGAATGAAGCTAGTGTGGATATCGCACAAGAATAGAATTTTATACCGAGTTACTTTTGAAAACCTGTAACTATGGTCTAATACCCTTACTCATCATAGATATTTCGAGGTGATGGTATTTTGTGCGTATCCAGTTATTTCATATTCCTTCCTATCAAAAACGTGTTGATTATATCTAATCAACTTTATGCCCTCATTTTCCAATGAATGTAGGACCACAGAGGTTGGCAGTTTTCCTCACAGTAAGCTTCCACAGACTGAGAATTAAATGAAGGCTCTTGTCCTCCCCTTCTGAAGTGTTTCATCCTTCTTTATAGATCACTACTCCTATCTCTGTCATGGTGCTCTTGGCCTTCTTCTCGAGTATGTTGATGTGATTTCACAGGGTTCTTGCAATCTTTCTAAGATGGGGAGTGAGAAGGCATGGTATCTGAGAACAGAAGCAAGTCCCCGCATGCCTGGTAGCCGTATTGAAGATAGGGCTCATTTCAGGATGCAGAGTGTAGGCACTGCCAACCCAGTCAGCCTCAGGGCACTCACCGGTGAATGCTTGTGGAGTGTTTCCTCTGCGCAGACCCTGTACTAAACACCACAAGTATATTGCATCACTTAATTCC